AAAGCCAAGGCCATTCTCAGCAATGTGTCCAAGGAGGGGGAGGGAGTAGAATTAGGACAGCTGATTTAAACTGACCAAATAGATATTCCAAACAATATGACATCATACAGAAGGGGTTTTGGAGGAGGTAGGAGTTATCTTGCTCACTCTTCTGCTGCTCAGGGGGCTAGCTGGGCATTGACTGGGGGGTGGTGAGCAATTGCTTGTGCATCACATCTCATATACATTCATATACATATACCTGTAGCTGAGCAAGACAGATAAAACCATCATATCAGACACTCTGAAGAAAACAATTCCACCCCAGATGAAACTAAGATGCATCTAAAAATTTAACATTTTTTTATCAACAATAACCAGATTTTTAAAATGCTCACATACGTCTTTACAAAGAGAAATAAATTCCTCCAGTACTGGGAGTGCTTCTTTTGACTCAGATGTTGCAAGGATTCCTAGCAGTTCTCTTTGTTACCTCCATTGCCTTGTGGGACATGCAAAATGTTTGTGTCCCTGGAGTCCTGCAAAGTAAGAAGAGGCACAGTACCCTTTAATTTTCATGGACGAACTTGGTTGAGTCACTGGAGAAATGATCTCTATGGTATTTATAAGCAGGGACTTTGACATTATTATTTTTTACATATAGATTATGAACTCATGTGGACTGCTAATTCCCTTGCAATTGTCAGAGTATCAAAGTGCCTTGCTTTGTGTAAGGCCAAGAAAAACTAGTCAGGTTTTATGAGCCTAACTGTACATCAGGAAGCATCATTTTTTTGTTTATATTATGGGATACTATTTTTTTTTTAATCACATGAGAAGAAACTTTCTACCTAATCACTGCAATAAAGCTTTTGTGAGAGTTTTGGAAAATTATTTTGTACTTGTGCTACTGAAAACTGATGCTGTATCCTGTTTATATGTTTAAAAATAAGTCCTTAAGTCTTGTAAAATGCAGACAGCTTGTGGGACCTCCCAGTAGGTGCCCCTGTTTATATTGCCTAAGTTTAGCTAGTGGTTGCAAAGACCCAGCAGCCAACTTACTAATGAGCTTGTTTTGACAGGACTGCATAGCTCATTGCTTTTTAATGCACCATGTTGCTGCCTGGACCATGCTGCCTGGATTTGAGAGATTGCATCAAAAATGTGCAGCAAAGATCATTTGGAATCAGATTTGATGGATTTACAATCCAGTTTAAATACTCAGGGAAGAACTGTTGTTTTCTTGCATGCTGATATCCTCTCCTGTTCAAAACTTGGAGACTCCACAGTGCACTGGGACAAATTTATCCTGGGGATAACTCTAATGAAGTGAGTGAAGTCACACCAGGGATTCATTTGGCTCATTACTAACATCTTGTCTTTTACCAGCATGCCCTGCATTTGTCACTTGACACTCTGTGCTGTGGTGAAGACAGAAACGGTCAGTTTGGTTTTTAAGGATCCTCTACTTTTTACCATGGCAAACTGTTGTGTTTTCTTGTTTGTTTGTTGTTTTGTTTTAACTTATTTTTAAAATCTGAACTATGTAAGTGCTGTGGGCTGAGAAGAGTTTGAATAGTAGGCAATATTGAAGCCATAATAAAGACAATTACAGTTATCAGTGAACAAATACCTCAACCAAACTTCTCCCTTTTGTGATGTTAGGTAGTTGAAATTTTGTAATGTAATACATTTTATTAATATACCTAGGGATTTATGAGCCCTCCATCGCTAGATCCTGTTCACCTTTTCCTATAACTGCCTATTGGATTTCACAAGTGCAGCATTTATGGGGAAGACCATTTTTTCCATTATTTTCTATCTAAAATGTGAAAAGATTGATTAATATATGTAATCAGCAGTCTTAGACAATCCTGTAGAACTGATCCATTTGACCTGATTATTAATATGGCATTGTACTGTCACATAGGGATGACCTCAGGTATGCTTTGAAAAACAATTTTGTTAGTTTAGCTTTTTAGTTTGCACAGTAAAATCTCCAGAATAAATACAGTAGATATGCTTATTCTTCTATCCATACAAATGCATAGAAAAAGACAGTGAAGGGAGACTGGAGAGCGTGAAGGTTTTTATTAGTTTATATATATATATATATAAATGAAAATCTTTATTTTTATTGTGACTAAATTATGTACACATGCAAACTTATGTAGATACAAACAGACACACAAATATATTTGTATGTATGCAAAAAAAGCCATAGATACATCATCCTGTCAGTGGGAGTCATTTACACCCTATCAATTACATTGCATTGCCCTTAAAAATCATAGGCCATCATGTGTGTTTAAACAAAACGTTTAGTGTAGGTATATAATAATAATGTTAAGAAGACAAGAGTTAAAGTATATTTACAGATTGTGGAGGAGATATCAACATGCCAACATTTTGCAAAACTTTGACTTACTGCTTATGTATCTGTTAAGACAACATCAGTCTGTAGCAGTGTGGCTGCATGACACATCAAGCCCTGGGGACCAAAGCATGACATATGGAAACCTACATATACAGTAGATATATACATATAGTACAGAAAACTATGATTCTAAAGAATTTAAAATGTATCACTGAGTTTTCTTTAATTTATAAGTTAAATAGATTATGGACATATGGAGAGATGTCTACTCTGGCATCTGAGCTCTTGTAGTGCTGCTGAGTTGTAGTGAATGTGCAGTAACTGGTTCTAAGCTGTGTAATTGCCTGACTATCACCATTTTGCATCAGACTTTTGATGGACAGAGCAGTGCTCAGTCCTGTTGGCTCATCAGTCTTACCTCAGGGACCGATGGCAGATTATTGCAGTTGGTAAGCAGGACACAGTGAGCACCTCCTGAGATTGGACCTCTTCATTCCAAGAGCTCCAGAACCTCTTATCTATGTGTGTGTGATGCACTCATCCTTCCTAGGACTTATAAGCAACACATTTATCTACCTATTTATGTATCTAGACATACATATGCACTGTATGGACTTGCCTAACCTCCTCTGTGAGTTTTCAAGACAGGGAAGTGGCAATGTGGTCAAACAATCAGTGATCAAACTAAAATCTTGGTTTTATTTCTGGGCATCTCAGAGATGTCATCAGAGTTACTTGGATACACCTGAAAGCTGAAGTTGGCTATATTTTAATAATATCAGTAGAAAAATGCAATTAGAAGATTTCCTACACCTGCTGAGGCAGCAGGATTTAATAAGTTATTATATGATTTCGAAACCTAATTCTGATGGATGCTTGTTCTGTTAGAATAAACCTTTGTCTTTTCCATACTAAAAGAATCTGCGCTGCCTGGTTTTGCTCAGGATATTTTTTGTAGTTTATAACAAAAGGCTCCTCCCCCCCACCCCCCTTCCCCAACCCATGGGGCATCTTCTTTTTTCTTTATAAAGCATTTCACGTGATTTCAGATTTGTTCTCTGTATGTTGGTTCAGATGAATTAATATTCAAAAAGAATAGGACCGTGCCTAAATATTATTCTTTTTACTTACACTGCTAGGTATTCTGCAGTGTTTTACCCCTATAAGCTTTCAGCAGTCATTGCTGGAATCAGAAACTGAATGTGGCACATTGTCTTTGGCTTAATGATGAGGCATAAATGTTTCAGTTTCAGTCCACGTTGCTTTCACCATCATAGAATTCGGCTTTAAAAAACAACTGAAAAAAATATAACATTTCAAATTGAAGAAAGCTGACCTAAGAGAAAGTAAAACGTGTGTTATGTTGCATGGTTTTTATGATATATTCATATGCTATCCTAAGCAGTAAGTACCGTTCAACCTTGGTGGTATTTAAGAAAAATCTTGTGACTCTTAATGAAATGCCTGATAAATATTTTCTCTGTTTTTGCTGAAAAGCTAAAAATTGGCCCCACATCCTACAATTCTACTATTTTTTTATTTTTTTTTTTCCTCTCTCTCTCTCTCTCTCTCTCTGAAAATGTTTGATGCTGGGTCAATGAGGTAATTATATGATCTGTCATTCTCCTCTGAAAAAATGTATCCACATAAACCAAGGTTATTATTAAGTACACCAGGACATACAGGAATCTTTGATGTAAATATATAAAATCTTACTAAAAGGGGAAAGTAGAGGGCTGTGCTGATAATATTGCGATCCTTTCTGGTCACTGGTGCTGGGATTATTTCAACTCATTTTTGCCATATTGAAACAAGACCCCCATTTCTAAACTTGCCATTAAAGCCTCAGCTATTCTAGTTCCTAGTCCTTGGAACCAACAAGCTCCATGTCAGAGTTTAAAAAACACGGAGAGATTCTACGTGGGTAAGATGGGAAGAATCCACACATTGAGGAAGGTGAGAATTTGAAGCTATGCAAAGGGATAAAAAGAACAGAGAAATGATATTCAATGGAGGAAAGGAATATTTAGAAGGCAAATCATGAAAAACTGACTACAAAAAGTAAGTACATTTAGGGTAAGAACTGTATCTAAAGGGAAGCTCTAGCTGGCTTTTCTGTAGGAGATTGAGAAGTATAAATCAAGCAGGGGAAAAAAAAAAAAAAAACAACACAAAAAACAGACAACTCAGAGAAGAAGTTTGATTCCTTTACTACTCTGTGATTTAACATGTAATCATTAGCAAAATTGAAAAGATCACTGATAAAAAGCATCTAGAAGACTTCCTATTCTGTAGAGATTACATTAGGATTACTTCATCAAAAATACTCTACTTCTCAGGAAGTGGATAACACCAATATGTTCCAAAGCAGACTGGCTTTCAGTGTGTTTTAATATTTCTTTTCTCCATAATATAGATTTTGCAAACAATTTTTATAAGCTTAATTGCTTACCTACAAAACTTAAGCACTGGCAAAAATAGAGGTGCCTTTCTTGAGTTCTACGTTTATTTGAATAAGCATTTTTTCTAAGAAAAAATATGAAATCTAACATGGTTTAGAAAGGTGGTCTGTTATGGATGTGTTTTATGAATACTTGTCACATATTCTTTAAGCACGTTTGAATGTATGCTAAACAACACTTACCTGCTATAGAGGGAAGAACTGAATAATGTACGTGTCTTTCATATTCACACAGCACAAAGATGTTTAGAAATCTTAAAATAAACAAACAAACAAATCAACCAAACCCAAAAGCCATCGATATCAAGAACTTCAAGGCTTGTAAAATTAGCACAACTCACTGAGAAGCTCTTCTGGTCTATGGTCCTTCATCAGATATTTCTGCAGCTTGGAACGATGCAGGCTATGGGGAAGAAAAGTAACATATTGACACATAAGCCCCCACATCTCAGCTGCTAGGATGGGGAAGGAGTAAGCACAGAAATCTACAATTAGACAAAACTCACTCAGAAACAGCCTCTCGCAGGAACCTGATAAATACTGCAGTGATTTGCAGAATTAGCAAACAGGATAAGATTGGCAGCTTAGCATAGAATGAATTTTGGTTATCTGTACAACCTCACATTTACTTTTCTCTCATCTTCAGAAGTACTTACAAATCAAGAGCAAGATTAAGACATCTGATTATTATTTTTTTAACACAAAAACCTCAGAATTAGATACAGCTGTTACTGATAGTCTAATGAATTCTCATTTATTTATTTATTTATTTTAAGATATAAATGACTTACCCTTAACAAAAGGCTCAAGGAATTTCATGAAAGTGTGATTTTCCAGATGTACAATATTACCGGTTTGCTTTTATATGGCCATTATGAATTTCAAAGTAAATTTAACCTTAATTATGTTGAAAGTCTCTGTAGATTTTTTAAAGTAGCTGCAAATCTTCAATGCAGAATGAAGAGCAACAAATTTCCTATTAGAGAAACATATTGTTAATTTGTTAAACAAGTCACACCTGATTGCCACTTGCACCTCATTGGTATGCTGTGAAGACGAGCCCCTTCACATTCAGTTAGGCATTGTTTCAAACAACTTGCCAACAAAGATTTTTTTCCTTGGATCTGGGAAGGCAACATTTTACACATACTCAAAAACAATAACACTTGAATGACAGTTATTTTCAATTTGGGATTTTGACAAAGACTCTTAATTGCTATTCCCAGGCAAAATCTTCATTAACAGGGAGTCTGGATTATAAATATTTATTAATTACCTAAGGGAAGAATCCATGGGAGAAAACTGTGTTTTCTAAATAATTCAACCTGCAGAAATTAGTCTGGGAGTTCCTAAGATTATTTTACATTTAAATTATATTTAAAGTACATATGAAAATCCTTCTGAAGTTAGAGTAGTTGCTACTGCGTTTTTTTTTTGTTTTTTTTTTTTTTTTTCTTCTTTTCTGTCCTTGTACTCATGAACCTGCAAATGTCAGTCCTCATGATCCATTTTTTATTTCTCTAGAGACAAGGAGACCTGATATATTGGTTGGTGTTTTGGGTTGAAAGGTGGATTATCTGTCAACTTGCATCTCTCACCATTATAGATTTTTAACATGCAAATTATGTTTCCTTGAGCTTCTACCTGTTCATTGTCAGGCTTTGCCATGAGGATGTGCTTGAACATGAGGAGCTGGGCAGATGGGATACCTGCAAGAACTGATGGCTCTGGAGTTAACTCCAACAGGATTCCTGCATCTTCATTTAGGTACCAAAATCAAAAGGCTTCATCACCAACAGTGCTATAAGGTAACAACCTACTCTCGATCCCAGGGACAGCTGGTTGCTTCCAGTGCAGCCAAAACAGCATCATTCACATGCAAAAAGCACAGAGTAAAACTAACCAAAGAGAGGAAGAAAAGCCTGATATTCTCTTTGGATTTTACCTCATCAGACCATGGCCAAAAGTAATGGATATTTATAGGGTATAATTTCTGTCTCTAGAAAAAAAAAGACAGGACATAGAGAATGACATGAGTTCATTTGGGGTTGCCAGATCCTTTGCGTGTAACTCAGAGTGTGAAAGCAGTGCTGACTAAATCACACAGTTTCCAAACAGGATATTAATATTTCATTATTTTACTCTGGTACTTTGCTTGCAATTTATTTTTTTTAGTCATTGAAATTTGTACTATAGTAGAAGATACTAATGCTTTTGATCAACCCAAATGCATGAAAGGGGTAAGATGTTCATTCAGTGAGAATGAAAAAAGAAAAGAAAAAAAAAAAAAAGGTATTATTGAACCAGTGAAATACCACATAAGGATTTGCAGTCCAATGAAAAAGCCACTAAAGTGTTATTGTTCATTTTGTTTTGGGGGGATGTATCATATGAATTCCTCTCTGCTGCTGTCCAGCTACAGCAAAACTGTTGAATTCTGATAAAAGCAGGAAAATGGGACTAGCAGTCATGCAACTTGCTGCTTGATGTGCTACGGAACTGAATTCCAAACTGTCTCTACTGGTTAAACCACAGGTACTAAATGAACCTGCTTATAGTTCTAGCTCAGAATATGACATTATTTAAACTTATATTCATAATAATAAGCAAATTTCTATTAGCTAAAATTGCAAGGAAAACTTGACTTTATGAATTTAATTGCAAGCCAGTGCATGCCTGAGCCTGCAGGCAGCCTAAAACACTGGCTCTGAGAGGTGCATGCTGCTATTTCTGAAGATCTGCTAGCATCAGCCCAACAAAAGCAGAGACAGAAGAATCCAGGATGCTTAACCTATTAGTCTAGTCATAGAAAGGCTCCAAATACTGCCTAGGGGAAGGAAGGGCGATGCCACAGCTGCTCCCAGGGCTGGTAGGAAGTAATGTGACCTCCAAGTGGAAAAGGAGATTCAAAGAGTGGCAGGACTTGTAGATTGCTTTGGTTGCTTGGTAGCAACTATGCTCTCTAGTAGAGAAAGTTTACGTGACAATCCTTGCAATTTTACTCTGAGAGACTAAAATTCTGGCAATAGATATCAGCTACTGAGCAAGTATATCTGTGTTACTGTGTGTTTTAATTTTTAAGGTTTTTTTTTCAGGGATTAAACATCCTTAAATAAATATGTAGCATTCTATTCAGTATGATGGATATTTTGTAATGCTGTTTATCTGTGCTGAAAATGTATTTTCAGTGGATGTGTTCCTGCACCTCAGCTCAGTCAATAAGAGCAGTTGACTGCTTACTCCCTGCCATAGTTTCCATTTTGCATTTTGCATCTTGACTGAGTAGGAAAATTCTTGGTAACTTTTCAGGTTATGTGATACCTTAATGTGGGAAGAAAATGAGATTTCATGTTAGCTTCTGGTAGAGAATGAAAGGCCAGATTTTACAGACTAATCATACAAGTAAGGAGAAACCCTGCTCTTGGATTCCATCCTGAAGCATTTGAAATTGGAGTTAAAAAATTTTGTCTGCTGTGGCCAGAAAAATACCGGGGGCACTGAAATTGCCAGGTTAGGTCCTGGGCCTCTGCTGGTACTGGGTACAAATTATGCTTGTCCTTCTTCACATAATATTAATCCATTTTTCATGAGGTCGCCTTGAAATTAGCATTTGAGCAGTAGCTTTTGCTAGATATAAATAGAAAAGTGTATATTAAGGAACTGAACAATATGATTTCCAATATAATGTGGGGTTAATTCTCTTCATAATGCATGAGGATTGGAAGTAAGTAATGAAATTAAGTTTGCACTGCTTTATGAAGCTTTGGTTCAAAAATGTTAAAGGCTATTAGGACCTAGATGTTATGTTCAGAATTTCTCTTTAAATCATAGATTTACTAAGGTTGAAAAGACCTCTAAGATCTAGTCCAGCCATAAACCCATCACTGCCATGCTCACTAACCATGTCTCTCAGTGACATACCTACTTTTTCCTTGAACACCTCCAAGGAAGGTGACTCCACCACCTCGCTTGGCAGCCTGTTCCAATACCTCTAGAAAATGAATGAGCTCTAGCCTTAGTTTTCTCCTGGTTAAGGAACATCAGGTGAATTATTGAAAGTGTGATGCTATTTGCCATTTTTGTGCTGTCTCCTCTGCTGGCTGGCATCTGCCCATGCAATCACATCACAAAGAGACTATCCTTTGCAGTGCCATACTCTCAGTTTTGCTTTTCTGCTGTTCTCCTTAATATAAAATTTAAGTCACTCATGTTGAAAGCATATAGCTGTTCTTTCCCTATGCAAATGCAACAGCTGGAAATATAAGAGTGCAGAAGCAGTGAGGTAACAAACAATTAATGATTATGTTTTTTTCAATATTTAAAATTCTTTGCTTTCAGCAGCACGATGTTTGGAGGAACAAAAGGGATACTAAGCAAAGCCACGTTGGAAGGGTAGGGAATAGAAGGGTAGAGAGATAAATGACAGTATGCCCAAGGGTTATGAGAGCCATCTAGCGATAAATACACTAGGAGTGAAAAAGGTCACTCTGAATAAGTGAGCACAAAAAGTAATCAAGCATTGGAAAGAGGGACATGCCACGTGTAAAGAATGAGGTACTGGAGTTAAGAGCATAAATACTGATAAGGAAAGGAAAGCCAGAGAATGAAAGCAGATTGCCCAAGAGCTTTGGAAAGTTGCATAATGAAATTGGCTTCAAGAACACTGGGACAAAGAAGTCAGTGGGGGAGAGAGCAGTGCTACTGAAATGACTGCTGTAAGGGAAGCTTGCTTTTCAGATTCTGCACAAAGCCCCCATCTGGTTTTCAGGAAAAATCTTCCCTGATATGCAGTGAGGATAGTTTGCAGAGAATATTTTTTAATGCTACAAGACTGAATCATAGACAAAGTACAGTCATCTCAACACCCACCTGGTTCAGTTTAGCAGGAGAAAACCTACTTCTAAATTTCACAGATCATCCACATGGCATATGCAGAAGATTAAATTTGGACCCCTACTGCATGTTTACTTGTCAGTGCTGGGTAGTGTAAGATGCACTTAATGATGAAAAAAATCCCAGAAAAAAAATCCCCCATTTTCCTGACAGCCTTTCAGCCTTGCTTCTAGCAGCTTTTTTCCTAGGCTGTTGGAGAGCCATGGGCTTCAGGGTTTTTGTGGCTGCATGTCATGGAAAGCTTACTGGGTACAGGCTCTAAAAAATAGTAGCTCTAATTTAATTTAATTCAAGTATTTAGTCAAATAGAATGAATGAATCTGAAACAAAGGATTTTGCACTCAGGTAGTCCTGAAGTCCTGTAAGTCTTCATAGTACAGAATAAAGTTCTCCAGCCCTCTCCTTCTCCAGGGACAGGTGGATTGTAGATGTATATACACTGCAGCATGTTGCCCAGAGACTGGAACAGACTGCCAGGAGAAGCTGTGGATGTCCCATCCCTTGAGGTGTTCAAGGCCAGGTTGGATGGGGCCCTGGGTAGCCTGAGCTGGTGATGGCAGCCCTGCCTATGGCAGGGAGTATGGAACTGGGTGATCTATAAGGACTCTTCCAAGCTAAGCCATTCTGTGAATAGTAAGAGATGTTTAGGAGAACCTTTGAGATGATGTTGTATAAACTCCACTAGTACTTGATGAATTATACAAGAAGAGTAAAGTGGTGGTAGAAAACATATTGGTGTGCAAAAGAAAAAGGTTCCCAAAATCCTGATATAAAGTTACCATCAGGCAATGAGTTTGAAATGAGAAACACCATTTGCATAGATATTAATGGAAGGATTCTACATAAGCTTTTAATTCTGGCATTTTTCAAGGTAGAGAATGCCTCAATCAATTGAAATCTTTAGGGTTTTTTGTTTGGTTGGTTGGGCTTTGTTGTAAGCACTTTTTTAGTATTATTATTGCTTCCTATGAGGAAGGGAGAACTGCTACACTAAATAAGTGCTTTTACCTTTTTTTTTTTTTTTCCCCAGAATTTTCT